TGGTCCTTCCCTAATGTAACTGCAGCATGGCTCTGCCACGTATAAGTTAGTAGTTATTGCGATATTATGGACATCCACTGGTTTTATTTATATGTGGATAGATAGCGATCAGCAGAGCGGGACGGTATTTCATGCCGGTACACCGCCTGCAACTTTACTAGGAGCGGGTCCGCCGCACATGGAATACTGTTCACATCTCTGGGCTGGGGCTCCCCAGTATCTTTCATTTGATCGTATGCAGCGCGGAGCGGTTCGAATCGTCGGCGACCGAGCTCTTTTTGATCGGCTTGACTCTCCGGCAGTGTGGAGAGATATTGCATCTGTTTGCGTATTGTATCGCATCTACCACGGTGAGTGCTCTGAGGAATTGCTCGTTATAATTCTAGCCGCTAAATTTCACCATGGAACATCGCGACAGAATGCGCAATACCATCCATACTAACTGGATGACTGGCAGTCCACCACTGTGCGATTTAGAAGAAGTTTACTTCCTCGCACAACTTCCTTGTGGAATCGACTGCCACCAGCGACTTTTCCGGACCGATATAGCTAAGGCTGGCAACGCATCTGCAACTTCTCTGGCGTTGCAGTTGTTCATGGGCGGCGGTGGCCACCATCAGGTGATCCACATACTCGTTTGCCCCCTCTACTATAAAAATAAAGTTCCGTCTATCTTTCTTGTTGGACTCAGGTTCCCAGGCTATTTTAGCAACGTTGCTGACTCGGACATTGACCGGTTTTTATATTGAGTATTATGTGGCTTATTAATCAGTATCTAAATCTCCCAGCTGGAGCCAACGTTTGTGTACATTATACAAATACAATGTACATCAGTCTATTTCGTCTCAGAGGTTTTTCCCGAACCAGTGGTAAGATTTAATTGAATTTCAATAAGCATTTTCGAAATCTATATTGAATAAATTTTGAATTTTGAATACGTGGTAGAGCCACGTTGCAACTATATTAGTAGTATAGTTGTATCACGAATTGGTCGGCTCGACCGGGGAAGGATCACACTCTCACAGAAAACCAGCATAAAATAGTAGCTTAATGCTGCTGTGTTTCGTATGGTGATTGTGGAGAACCGGGGACCATTTTTACTGGAAACGAGGCATTCCATATTAGTCCTCACGGATGACAACGCATCTGCATTTTTATTCGTAACTGAGGATAGATGTCGCCTCCTACGACTAGATGTCTATGGGCCACAGAAACCACTTACCGTCACTCGGTGGACTGTGTGCTCGTTTGTCACCCTATCCTTTAAAAATTTACTCTATTCTATTCTGTACTATTCTTGCGGGTGTCATAAAAGGCGAACATGGGAAATGCCAGAAAAGTCTTATGACTTCCGACAGATGGCTGCAGAACCACTGACGATAGAAGTAAAACTCTCGACGACGGGCAGCCATCAAGTATCTGTATATTTGTTTCTCATTGCAATTTTTATGTGAAACAACCTTCACAGGTCCATCTGGTGGGTTTTATTTTCCTTAAAACCTCCTAGAAAACCGTGATCAGTACTTAAAATTGAAATTAAGAATTTCAGTGGTGCCGGCGGGGATCGAACTCGAAATTCCAGTAGTAGTAGTATCACTTAAGTCACACAAGTCTGGTCTAACTATGGTCTGCCCCAATGATAGCCACAAAACACGATTCCGAGGCACATACTTCCGTCAAAGTTTTGCACCACTCCATCTATTGAAATGACGAACTATACTTAATGTGCTAGTGGTGTACCAAAAATACCATTCGTCATGCGTATAGTAAAGGAGTGGAATAAGTCCCAGCTTAAATAGTAGTTTAGCAGCAGTATTTTTCCTGCCTTTAAATTTTGATTACAATGTGGTTGTCCTCAAGGAAAGAGTGAATAAGCTTTTGTTAAGTCAATACGCTTTACCATCTTCGGCTGCATTACCACTTATCATCAGATGGAATAATATTCTAGCACTTACTTAGAATAGTAAAAAAAATATTTTAAAAGATGTAAAATTTGCGTTGGCTTCTAAACGCCGTCAGAGCTTTCGCAACACGAAAAGCGTGATGCATTGTACACGCAACAAGTGCACCGTAAGTTGTGTTTCGTTCTCAGGAAAATTACTCATCCGAAGTTGTAATCCGGGTGTCATACAAGGATGCGTAAGCTATCGGCTATTTAATGACATACATACAGGGCTGCTGCCTTAAGAAATCAGAAATTTGGGAGCAATTTTATGATTTTAATAGAATAAGGGTGACAAACGAACACAAAGTCCACCTGATGGTAAGTGAAGACTGTGGACCATAGACATCTACATCTATCCTCGATTAAGAATACCAAAATGCAGATGCGAAGGGTGGCACCGTTGAGAACTGAGATGTAATGCCTCGTTTTCAGTGAGGAGGGTCTCCGGTTCTCTACACTCACCATACGAAACACAGAAACCTTAAGCTGCTATTTTAAGCTGGTATTCTGTGAGAGCGTGATCCGACTCCGGTCGAGCGAATCCATTCGTGCTACAACCATATTATAGCTTGGCTCTACCACGTAGTCAAAAGTACACCGTTGAACGGAAGGCTTATCTTCTCCATAGAATGCCCCCTAGGGTATTTGCTGTAGTTCCGCGTGTTTGAACTATCCAAGTTATTAAAAAATATTGGCTTGGGATCTGAGAGATTGGTTGGGGCACCGTCGGGAACTAAACTAAGTAAAAATAAGTTGGATTAAACACGATAATTCTGTAAAATTGATTTAATTTAATCTGAGGGATTTTTAGGTATAAGTTTCAAGGACAATCCCGGATCTCTGGTGAGATGTCAACCTTAAACACTAAGGTTTAAAAAACCGAAGGTGATCGAGTCCAGCTTCGCAATGCTAAGCCCCGTAAACAATTGAATCGAATAAAATTTGTAAAGCCAACTCGTCGGTCAAGTTTACGAAGTTATATTTATTATAATAAAATATTATAGGAACTGAAAATACTATTTACTAGTCTTCAGTTATTTTACTAGATACGAAATGTCTTTTAATAAAGAATTATTGGTTAGTAGAGGTGTTTTTATTATACTATATGTCTTTTTGTTTAAAAACGTTACTCCACACTAGCATTTCGCTCGTGTCGAGTTACAGTTTACATACATAAATTCCACAAGAACAAATATCCAGACCCGGTTCAATTATTTGTAGGCCATACAAATAATTATTCCGTGGGGGATTCGAACCCGCGACCCTTAGCACTGCGACTCATTGCTAAGACCCTGCACCACGGAGCCGTCTGCTGCTTGTTATCTCCGTTTCTGCTAATCGTGGTGCCTTAACGTAATGAAATCGTTTGTTACCTTTACTTGTATAAAAAAGTGGTCTACCGCATAAAGAAATTCCCTTATATCTAAAATTGTCATATAACAGCTTGTACCTACCGGCGTAGTGCCAGCGTAACAGAATTCGTCATCAAATCTCATTCCGTTACAACTTATCATAAGTCAACAGCTGATGATATGCCTACCCCATAGATGGATTCGCAGGGGGGATATTTGCCATACTTACCAGGATTAGCAGACGGGTTGGCAACCCCAGTTTTTTAAATAGTTGTTATTAGGAATATCCTGGTTTGTCTCTATCTGTTGCCTCTTACGACTGTGATGCAAGCCGTGGTTCTCTTTTTTTAGGGTTCCGTAGTCAACTAGGAACCCTTATAGTTTCGCCATGTCTGTCTGTCCGTCTGTCCGTCCTCGCTTAATCTCTGTGACCGTTAGCACTACAAAGCTGAAATTTGGTACCAATATGTGTATCAATCACGCCGACAAAGTGGTAAAATAAAAATTGGAAAAAAATGGTTTATTAGGGTAGCCCGCCTATATGTAAAGTGGGAAGTGATTTTTTTTTAATTTCAACCCTAACGTGTGATATATTGTTGGAAATGTATTTAAAAATTAATAGGGGTTTACAAAAATCAATTTTTGATAACGTCAATAATTTCGGAAATAATCGCTCCAAAAATAAAAAACAATGTGTGACCCCCCCCCCCCTCTAACTTTTGAACCATAAGTTTAGAAAATATGAAAAAAATATGAAAAGTAGAACTTTATAAGGATTTCTAGGAAAATCATTTTGAACTAGGATGGAAACAACATTACCCACTACCGGGAGCGGTTGCAGGACCGCGGAGCGCTGCTGGAGCGCGAACATAATGGATACCCACCTTTAAACTCATAAGTGGGAACACTTATTGTGACGGACGGGAAACTACGGAACCCTACACTGAGCGTGGCCCGACACGCTCTTGGCCGGTTTTTATTTAAATACACATATCTATATTAAATTTTAGTTATGAGAAATCCCCAGCGTTTAAATAATAATAGTACTTAATTATCATCACAACCTGTAGTAGTCCACTGCCGAACACAGGCCTCCCTCATAGGGTAGATTTTGCCACAGTTGCCATGCGTGGCAGGTTGGTTGGTAACAGCATTTTTTATTATCTGAGTTGTTATTACAAAGATGCTGCAGCGATCGTCCTCTTCCAGTTTCCATCCGTCGTCTCTTACGACAACCACGGGTCAATATGGGGCAGTGGATAATCTTACACCGCTATTTTAAATAATATCAAAATATTAATTCAGTCTCGCCTCGTTTAAAGAAATTAAAAGTGACAGAAACGTAAGAATGAGTAACAAATATATTCCGCTAATTCCACTCCAACTAAACCAGATATTGCGACTCGTATACAAACAGTAGTGGAAGTCTTGACAATGGCAAAAACAAATACCAACTAATTAGATTTGTACACATTGAAGAGTCTGAGCAATTTAACTAACTAGCAACACATAAAAGCGTCGATGTAAGACTAACGGCGGTCAGAGTCGTGAAGATGAACCTCAAAACGAGTTTGTGGGGGGTGAGGGGGGCCGTGACGTCACCGGAGGCTGAGGTTGTATATAGATGCGCCGGCGCATCAGTCGACTAAGTTATTATCTTTGAGAGAGTACACTTGAGTGACACTGACACAGAGACGGTAAACATGCTGCGATTCGTGACTTTGCTTGCAGCGGTGAGTAAATAATTTCATATGTTATTAGCAATATTATAAAAACGCAGTGGTTGTTAATTTATGCCAATGAAATATTTTAAAATATTATTGAATTATTATAACTATATAAATGTGATGTTTTTAAGGCTTATTTAAAATACAGAAATTATTTTAGTTAATGACCGAATAAAATCATTTACATTTATTAAATGTGTGAGAATTTCATTTTATAAATTTCCTTTTAAATATTCTCTTAAATATTGAACTATTCACTGATATACTACTATTTTATAAAAAAATCATTGTCTAATGTTAAAAAAGACTTCCTATTAAAATTTGTCAATATAGTTTTGTCCGGGATCAGCAATAGAACACGAAATCTGTCTGGGTCCCCCACACACATCCATCCACTGTTGAGCACAAGTTCTTTAATTTCTGAGAGAATTCTAGAACTTATTTTGATTCTTAATCCAGGTTAAATGTAGATGTCTATGGGCCACAGCATCCGCTTACCATCAGGTGGACTGTGTGCTCGTTTGTCACCCTTATCTTATAAAAAATATTAAAAATAGTGATGTACATTCTGTAAATACTTGGAAGAAGCAAAAGTTAGTTGTACCACTTACTTGACTCTAAGGAGACAGTAATTACTTCATTGTGCAATGTATACCTACGTTTTTACAACAAAGTCCAGGAAAACATGCAGGCCTTATGTATAAAATGTTTTCAAATTTTATCAAGCAAAATTTGGTTAATAAGGGTTATTACAGTATTAAAGAATACATGATTTATCATAGCCCTCAGGAATGACTACCATACTGTTTCTACATGCTTTTATACTAATTGTATTAGACAATATATATTATTTAAAAAAAAAGGTCCCGTTGGGTTACTTGCTGGTTCTTCTTAAGACAGAAACTTTCAATAAGTATTCATGCAATCTATATTGAGTAAAAATTATTCTATTTTAGTCTAATCTCAATAAGCCGCGGAAGGACTACGCGCTCATAGAATACCAGCGTGAAATGACAGAATAACGCTCATTTTATTTTAAATTTTCACTTCCTCTCCACCGTAAAAGTGAGTGTCAGATATTATTAGTTAGAGTAATAGACCACAGAGAATATTAGTCAAGAAACAAAAAAAAAAGAAACAAATTAGTTTTGTAAAATTTTCGCGTTTTTAAAAACTTGAAACAAATGTAATTGCATAAAGAAGATTTGAATTAAATTTTGCATAACCAAACTAAGAGATAGTTTTCAGGGTCAATACACGATATATTTTTATTAAAAATGATATTAAGAATTAAAAAACTATAAATAATTAACAAATTGAACACTGAGGGGAAATATAAAAGGTCATTACAACAATTTTTGATGTTAAAAAAGAATGATAGAATTTTTGTTCGTAATGGATCAGACGTAGAATTATCACAAATGAATGATGAATATACACCTAATTTTAGACATGGCGGCCAGTCTCAAACTATCTATCTACACAGGACGGGATTATAGTGCAAAAGTGTTTGCGCAAGCACAGCTAGGGTCTATTCTATTCCCTATTCTCTCACTCTCACAGTCGATGGATGAAATGAAATGAGTAAATGATATTTATTTAATAATATAGATTATTGTATAATACTAATTTAAAGTTATTTTTTATTTACCACTATGATGATACGGATTTACGTGCTTTACGAGGAACGGGGTTCAAACAGGCTAATGCCGGACTGCTAGTGAGAGTTTGTTGACAAAAAAACTCAATAACTGATTTTTAACCCGACTCGGGATTTGAATTAGCAGCCGTAACTGCGACCACTACAGTAATGAGGTAGTTTGAGTAAATATGACTTTAATGATTATTTCATGTTAAATGAAACATTATAACATGATTGTATGTTGAAATTGTGAATAATATTAGTGAAAAAGTGATATGCACTCTGTAAACACTAGGAACAAATACAAGCTAGTGATACCAGTTTCTCGACCTCCATAGAGTCAGTAAGTCATTCTTGGGGTAATGTATAAGCTATGACAACAAAGTCCAAGAAAATATACAAGATCTCTCTATAACCAAGACCAAATATTTAATTAAACAAAAACTGTATAAAAAGGGTTATTATGATGTAAATAAATACATGGTTGGTAATAACCCCTGGGAATGAGGTTGTAGCTTCCAAGCTGTTTCTAAAATAAATTTTGTAAATATTTTGTGTCTATTGACATTGTAAAATTATTTTGAAAAAGTAATCCCGCTGGGTTTCTTGCTGGTTCTTCCTGGGACAGAGGTTTTTTTCGAAACAATGGTAAAGTAAAAAACAACTTTCAATAAGAATTACAACATGTAATCTATATTGAATAAAAAATATTCTATCCTATTCTATTCTGTGACCTCGTGAAATTACTACTCTGTAGAACAAAAATTACAGAAAAAAAAAGAATATTTAAAAGTAAACTATTGACCAGCAACATGTCTAAATAATCCTCAATGGAACTCGGACACTCCATTTTTAAAGCATTTAGTAGTTTTCTTGGGTCTTTAAACAGGATTCTTACGAATGAAAATAATTATATATACACAGTACTATGTAGTGGCGGTGTAAGAATATCTACCATCCCACAACGTTCCGTGCGTGTCGTAAGCGGCGACAGAGGGAAGCAAACCAGGAGATGTGCAGCAGCGTACTCCTAAAATACTACTACTAGAAAAAAAACTGCAGTTGCCAACCCGCTTGCCAAGCGTGACAATTATGGCATATAGCCACACTAAGAGGCAATCTATGGGGGAGGCCCATGTTCAGTAGTGGACTTTGATAGACTATAATGATGATGATGATTAGGTACTTATATTTTATAATTATTACATTAAAAATAAATAGAAAATTAAAAAAAGGGTAAAATGTGCAAAAAATTAAAGAGCAATCCACTAGGGTATTGTTTTGTGTATTAATATAATACTCTATAGAAACTGATAAATTTTTATTCAAAACTTCAACAAATTGTGTAACAAAAAACTTCACCTAATTGTCAACTAGCGACATCTGGTGAACGGAAGATTAATTGACTTTCTTTACTCCTCAGACAGGAACACAGCAGTGCACTGCGATTTTCTGAGTTATTTCACTAGATGTCGCTTTACGAATGATAATAATAGAATTATAACACGCTATGGTTTCGTTCACAATCAGCATGTATATAACAATTTACTGACTATTTCTATTCACTCTGGTTTCCCTTCAAAACGTATAAATCTTTCGCCTTTTACTAAAGATTTCCGTGGAGGGGAACACTCAAATGAGTCTTACTCAATTTTTGATGCCCTACGTCCGTAGGGCTTATAAAAAATTAAAGTCTATGAGTCATATGTAAATACGAAATCGTTACACTCCTTGTATCATGGCTACAGCACAAATAGGTCGAATAATAGCGTGAACTAGCAGCATAATTCCACTTTTTGTACTATGAGTGACGAGACCCGGGGAATTTTTTTATGGTATTGAATATCGATACATTCCACCTTACGCCCGATACCTGTATTCGAGAAACGTTTCGTACTCCGTAACGATCCTTTTTGTTACGTTCGAAGCGCATTTAAAAACAGTTTATATTACAAATTCAGCAACTTAGGATGACTTAAAATGAAAAGCCTTTCTTCAAAAATACTCGATATATTTTGTTTTAAAAAGGGGTTTTCATGTAATCATTGCAAAACGGTTCGTAAAATAAAACAAAACGGTTTTAAAATATAGAAGCCCTGCATTAGTCCAGATGCGTTGCCATCCCTAAGGGCTTTGACGATTCTGATTCCTACGAGGATAGATTTTGGCTATAGGCCATAGCATTCGCTATACAATCAAGTCGACTGTATACTCGTGTCACTTCCAAAACAAAAATCAAGAACGTCTCATCACGTTCAAAGCCAGGGTTAAATTATTATTCGTTAATATAATATGTATAAATGAAAAAAAAATGTATAAATTAATCAGAGACTATTAAAGTCAGACCGGTTTTAGACATTTTAACCTTTACGGGGTTTCTCGTTGAAGCTATTATAATGGTTGATTAACATAACCAAATTGGTCAGTAATTATGACGAGACAATCTCGTTATTTAGGGGTCATAAACAACCGGCGACTACGTTGCATTTCTCATTTCGCAGATGCATTTTATTTAAATTAATTGCATACGGTTAAACAACGAAACCCGGAAGTATTAAGTGGTAGAGCCAGTGCAGCAGTAATACAGCTACATAAGTCGACCGATTAAGAAGCATACTCTCACAGAACACCAGCGTAAAATAGCAGCGTAACGGCTTTGTTTTGTATGTTCCCAGGACTGAAACTGAAGACTCCTCCCAATGATTAAGTGACATTCCTTCTTTATAAAAGTAAGAGTAAACCCCCCACCATACTAGGATTTTCTCCTGTATTGTGGAGGCAGTTTACATTCACAAATTGCACAAGGACAAACATCCAAACCGGGAATAATTACTTGTGGGATTCGTACCCGCGGCTGCAGTGCCGCAACTCAATGCTAAGCAACTGTGCCATGGTGCCATCTATAGTTCTTTATAGAATAATGGTGATAAACGAGCACACATCATACCTGATGGTAAGTGGATGCTCTGGCCCATAGACATCTACATCTATCCTCGATTAACATAATGCAGATGTGTTTTCACCCATTGAGGATTAAGGTGGAATGCCTCGTTTCAAGTAAAAAGGGTCTCCGGTTCTCTACACTCACTGTACAAAAAAAAAAGAAATAAAAAAAAAAAAAATATATATATATATATATATGTATATATAATTTAAGCTGGTTTAGTGCCAAGAAGAACTATCACCAAATTCGGACCTGAAAGGTGGCGCTGCGCTCGAGTTATTAATAATTAAATTCTGAAATGGTTTCGGAGTCACCACTGCTACTCACCAGAAAAGTAGTACAACATCTCCCGATCCGATAGTTTATAGTAAATCATAGGATTCAGTGTTGTTTTGGTTTTTTGTTTGCGAAAGTTTACCT